GCCCGCGCCCCCGCGGAGCTCGCGGCCGGCATGGGAGCCCGCGCGCCGCCGGCTGCGCTTAAGTAGCCCCGGCTGCCCGCGCCGGGGGCTGCCCGCGCCGGGGGCTCCGCGTTCCCTATCTGCACAGCCCTCTGCCCGCCGAGGCGGTCACGGCGCCGGGAGAGGCGCGGGCCGGGGGCGGAGCGGGGCCGGGGGCTGCGCTGCAAGAGCGGCGGCTGCTCGGGGCGCATCCGGGCAGTGCGTTAGTTACTGCGGGCGCAGCGGGGGGCGGCAGCGCTCCGGCCAGCGCCCTGCGCAGGGAGCGCTGCCTGCCCGGCGCCCTGGCGCGCGGCCCCGCGGCCCCGAGGCTGCGTTGTCAGGCCGCGCGGAGCCGCTGAGGCTTGGGTCCTTGGCATCCCGGGGGAATGTGCGTGGGAATGCTCCTGAGAGTGGAGTGGGAAACAGGCAAAGCTGCAGGAAGAAGCTAGAAACGTGAAGAAATGCTCTCTCCTCATCTGCTTGGTTTTTTTTTCCCCTACTATTTTTGCCTCTTCTTTCCACCTTTAAGTTTTGCAAGTTTTCAAAGACTCCACCGTTTCTTTTTGCAGTTGTTGCTGTCACCAGTGCCCTGCCCTTTCTTGTAGAGGCAGCTGCTCCCTGCCCGTGCCAGGATGCATGGAGTGCATGGTGCTGTGGACACACATGCCACAAAGGGCAGTTGTCACTACTGAAGTGACCCGAGCATGAAAGACTAATTTACAGTCCTAGTTGTGCTCATCAAGTCAACAAAAGCCATTCATCTTTCAAGAGTGCTGTATTTAATAAATTAGAAGGCCAAAGCTTCTTTTTTTTCCAACTTGATCAGAATTTTTCCTTAGAATTGTTAATTATTTTTTTCCAAGTACTATTTATTCAAAATAAATGCCTTACGGTCTTGTGAAGGGGCTAGCTTTTGGTTTGCAGCCCTGGCTTTTGGCTTCTTCTTGTTAGAGCTTGGGGGGATTTTTGTAAGTTACCTTTCAGGCATTCATTAACATCCTAATGACATCACTTGCCACTCAGAAGCTACTTAAAAGCCAAGCACATAGATAACACAGATAAAACTGAACCTGCTAGAAACTTCCCAGGAAGCCATAAATTAGAATGGAAAATACAGAAAACCCTCAGAGACGCTCCTGGGTTGCCACCTGGCTTCCTAGGCCATGTTCCTGATGCACCTTGCACTACTTGCTAGCACTGAGTGTGAGGGAAGAGTCCTGGGTGTGAGGGGATTGTTTCTGTCCCCCACAAAAAGGCCTGTGGGGGACATCAGGCACTGTAAGCCAGCAAGAGAAAAACTTAGAATATACGTGTATTCATGAAATCAGTAATATATTCAGTCTCTATCTGTGTGTCAGACACAGATTGTAAAAGCAGATCCAGATTGTTCAGATTTGCTCAGTTAGAAAATTAAGTGACATCAAGCCTAACCTTTTAAAATGTGAAAATTACCAAAATAGCATTCTTTTTACTTGCTAATACCCTACCTCAGACTGTTTTTATAAGCAGTATATGGTTAATTCTTGCTTGGGAAAGTGCCAAGGAAGTCTTAAATATGAACGGAAATGTTCATTTAGTATGTGGGCTTCTCTAGTTTACTCTTAGCAATAAATAACCCATCCCACTTGGAGAATCCTCAAGGAGGCTTCCATCTTAAACTGTCTCAGCATCATCTCTGCTTGCCGGACTTAAAGGTGTGTGGCTAAATGTTGTTCCATGCCCCAGAGAGAACAGGCATGTTTGCCTGACCAGTTCTGAAAAACTGCCTCTTGTTGCTATGTGGTTTGCCCTTGGCTCTGTTGGATGTTTCATCAGTTTTAAGTTCATCCTGCTTTATAAAAATTGAGCCATTAATGTCTGAAAGGTAGGTTGGTATGGCTAACAATGCTTATACTAGTGATACATTCATGTTTATACATACATACATGTTTATACTATACAGCTGAAGTAATAAGACAATTCCAGGGGAAAAAAAAACCCTCAGATGTATATTTTACATGTAACTAATTAGCTTAGAAGAGTGTAGAAAAAAAGGTCCCCATACAGTGATTTGTCTCAGTCTTAAATTAACTCCGTCTTCTACCTCATTGAAAAAATTGGAGTGAAAGACACTTCTTACTATTTCTTCCTCCCCACCCCAACTCTGCTACATTGTATTTAGAGATTAAGTAATTTTAAATCTATCATTACAGTTCAGGCTACTCTCTTGCACAGTGGAGTCAAAATAACTTTTAATATTAGAAAGAACACCTGTACCGGGCATATAAGTTCTTCTCAATGGTCCCTTAAGGAAGAGAAGACCACACAGCTAAGTCTTTCCCTGTCACACAGGAGGGATAGGGCCTCCTGCCCTATGCCTGTATTTGTCCCGTCATGTGCCCGAGTGGGAGCAGTTACAAGGTAGAATTTTAATGAATCTTTAATCATGGGAACCAGTGTGTAGGTACTGACCTCTTTTCTCCTATGCCTAGGATATGTATCCTCCTTCATGTGATCCAATGAAACATGACATTCATGCCACTTATCACTTAACTGTGTACTCACCAGTATGCAGAAGTGCTTGTTGACATCCAGTGGGCTGGCAACAGGGAAATCAACTGAGTAACAGCAGAAGAATCAACATTGCTTGTAGCCTGGTTGCTGCACGCAGCTGAGATTCCCTGAAGAAAGAAGGCAAAAGGAATTACACTGCTGACATTAGATATTGTCCCAGGAGGCCATATAAGCACAGGAGACTCACACTTGACTCTGAGGAATTGCGTACCCTTCAAAAAGCATATAAATATATTTTTTAAACCTATAATTTTTAAAAGCGTTTAAGGTGTGAGCTTTTAACAACCTACAGCATTTCTAGCTTGTTTCATCCCCTCCAGTGATTACATATAATCCACTTTTTAAAACTGATGTCTGATTTTCTGTATCAGATCTGATATATTCCAGATATTGAATTTCTTTGTGCCTTTTCCAATCACAAGTATTTTGTCATGATAATCTCTTGATTTTCTTAGCATGCTCCTGTTATCTTTAAACATATTTTTGAATATATGGAATATACTGAGAGTCACTCCATGAAGTCCCTTTCCTGGATTTTTACATCACATCCTTCCATGGAGGAGAGGACAGCTGTAAGTTCAAATCTGGGGTTGTGTGCACTTTCATGGTAGGATACTGTGTGTAGTACAAATGTGCTGCTGGATGTGTGCTGGGCTCTAGCATGTAAAAAGAATAGCTCAAATGAATAACTGGCAATAGTTGAGGGAAATTTAAATGCTCTCACTTTATTTTCAGCAAATACTTAAAAACAGATTTGCAAATTCACTCTGGAAACTCTTCTATCTCTTACTGAAAAAGAAAATGCATCACAATATAGACAAATCAATTTTAATTGCTTTTTACCTGAACAAACAGAGGTAAACTTTAACAGGAGAAGATGTCTTAGGTAAAAATTCAAAATGAGGAAATGGAAAACTGAACAATAACATGCTAAGGTCAAACCAGATGAGTCTTATCTCATCTCTTTCATGTTGAAGAGGGTAAGGGAAGGGGTGCAGTGTGTTGATGCTAGAGTGTATCATTAGTAACGGTCTGTTATTTACAATTGCAACTTGGAAGCCTTGGAAAGTATTTTATCACTTGATCTTCAAACTAGTATTTGTAACATGTCAGACTCTCTCTACTTTATGAACGTTTGTACTGCAACTGCACTGAGAAGCCCTAGAGCAATGTAGTTAAGCTCTATTGAACTCTGTGGAGGTTTAAAGATAAGGGAGTTATTTCTGTCAAAGCTAACATGAAAAAATATATCTGCTGCTTTATAATTGCCAATAATGGTAAAGAAGCTTTTTTTTTTTTTTAATTCTTCTTGTTATTTCCTTTTTTGCTTTTCCCTACTCTTGCAATAGGAATCTAGTCTTGTATAAGACACTCAGAGGACTCCAGTCTCAAAGGTACGTTGCCCTCGCAGAGTACATGGCTTTAGCATCACGTCCCCTGCGGCTGTTCAGGCAATTAGAACGGCTCTTGTGGCCCTAGGGCCCCCCGGTCTCTTAGCCTCCAGTCGCACAGGCAGGGATCTAGATGTGCTGCTGGGGATGGCTAGTTGGCCTCCCTGGGACTGGCACTCCTGCAAAGCCCTGATACTGCTCTCCTTTTAGAGCCTGAGAAAAACAAAGTAATTTCTAGAAGCCAGGTTCTTCCCTCTTGAAAGGGAAAAAAACCCCCCAGCAATGCACTTGCTTTAGGAAGGGTGTTTTTTTTTTCCTTCATATCTGAGCCATCTTTTAAAGGGAGGCTTTATCACAGAGACTGAAAATCTGTCATTTGGGATGACAAAATATTGTGGCAGCAAAATGTTCAGTGAGCACTTATATGGTGGGATTACAGATTGGTAGAGAGAACAGTTTTTCTAGGACAAGGAGCTTCCAGCACTAGCCTTGTCAATCTCTCTCTTCTCTTTTGACTATCTCAAGGTAAAAGTAACTTGTTCACTCTAAAGATGAATGGAAAATCAATTCAAAGAAAAAAAATGTGAGGAGGAGTATACTGCTTTTACAAAAAATTCACTATGGAAATACCAATTCTGGAAAAGAAATAGATCAAGAAATAACTAAGTTTCCTTCATAATTCTGATTCCGACCTATTAGTTTGTCAAAACGAACAAGGTCACTTACCAGGAAGAGAATAATTTCTGTGTCATCTCTGAGATTTCCAATGAAGTGTTAATCAGATATTCAGAGATC